GTCGGTATCATAATCTCTCTCAAATTTTAATGACAAATTTCTCTCAGAAATGTCTCATATATAAGATGAGGTAAAAAGGCATTTTAAATTACATTACTTGACGTTTTTCACCCCCTCCTCCACATCAAGTTTCTGAACCATGCTAGCCTTTTCAGGACTAAACTTTGTGATTGTGGTCTACCAGATCTAGGAAGTTTGATACTTTCGGTTTTCTTCTAATAGTGTGCTTTCTCGTAAGGTTAGTTGCGAGATAGCGTAGAGGTGTGTATTTGTTCTTCCTGCGTCCTAGTTTTTTGCTGTGTCAATTTCAACATACATACAATGCATCTGTGCAGAGATTTGAAAATAGTCAGCACAACTGCAGATAAAGCAAGACAAGTGACACGAGGACAAGCACAGGCTTCCAACTGAAATTTTATACAACATACAATATATAGCCCACATCCAAAATATAACATGCTCATGGTAAGAAAAAAATAACTGAAGTGAAAGTGCACTGAAACAAACTGTAAAAAAATAAGGCAAAATAGCACATGACAATGAATACAGGTAAGCCAGTCCTTTAATAGATAGGAATATCGAAGGTTTTATGTCACCAGCTTCCTTTAGCTGTTCATGCAGCCTTAATGATAATCCTGGTGCTATCGTAAAGGTGAGCTGCAATAGCTTCTGTTTTTTCGAACAGAGGCTGGCAACCACATTCTCAAGATTCAGAAGCCAAAGAACCATCTCTATCTATGGTTTTTACCTTTTGACAATGTTCCTGCAACTGTATACTTAGGCACTTGTCTCTTTGACTCGCATAACTATGTCCACAGAATCAAGATATGCTGTAATCGATGCCTCCTGCACAGTCAACAAAGTTTTGTCGTGCATAGCTTGGCTATGGTTCAAAGCTCTTTTAACGTCACAAGTTCAATTACATAAATGAGATTGCTTATTCAGTGCATTGGTAAAACAGAAAAGTATCTAAACATATGGTTACAGGGAAATTTGCAAAAAGTTGAATACATAGATAGAGACATTTCTTTGCGTTCTCATAAGTAGAAATACGATTGCCAATGCCTGTTTGAGAAAACAAAAGGTCGTATAACGCATCCCTATGATGGCACCCAGAACCTTCAATACTTTTGACTGCAAAGAACTGGCTTACCTGGAATCATTGGCATATTCTATGTCACCACTTTTCGTTTTTTTTGTGGTCTCTACGATGTTATGTTTCACTGCGATTTTTTTTTTGTTTTCAGCATAAGCATGTTGTTTTTATCTAGGGTGTAGGCAGCGCATTTGGGAGTTGAGATAAATTTCCATTGGAAGTTTGCGCTGATTCTCGTCTTACTTGTGCTGCTGTGTTTACCGCAGAGAAGTTTGAAGTATGGAATACCAACTAGTCCGCAGCCACATATGTTGTTCCATTCGCAGAAACCCTGGGGTGATAGCCGCACGCTTAAATTCGAATGTTTTTTCATCGCTCGTGCAGCCATGGAAACGAATAGCGAGGCTTGAGTGAGCATGCGGGTGTCACATGGGCACTTTCTATCGAAAGTGAATTTGTGGACCGTGATTGACTCACCTCCGCATCTAACGCAATGAAGAAACTTGGACTGGATAGCCATCAAAATTATATCGTGTGATGCCTGTACTTTGAAATCAGAAATGGTCGGCAGCTTTTCTGAATGATGTAGTGGTTAAAGTACCGCGCATTTAACAGCTCAGCTAATACGAGTTCGATGCCACTTCGCATGTAAAATGAAGTACTCGACAAACAACCGCAAGAATCTGAGCAGGTTGCTGAACGACCGCGCAAACCACAAAACTACAAGCGCACCCAGCTAAACTGGCAACACGTACGGACTACCACACCGTCACCACCGCGCACTCAACAGAAGTAAATATCACGGATGTCAAAAAGCACTGAAAGAGGTTGACGAGTCCTAGACACCGTGACCTTCACGCAAGCTCAGGCGAACCACAAAATTCAGCGGTTCCAAACGCGAACACAATCTAACTATTCGAGTTCGCAAAGCACATTGCAACGACAAACACTATCACAGTGCGCGCCAACGACGTGAACACCAAGCCGACCACTAACACGAAAAAAAATACGCCCGATGTGCCGACAGAACACCTACGTGCCTTCATCGAAAGAAAAGCTTCCATGGGTTGCCTGAAACGGCATTGTAAACTTTGACGAAAAGCCGCAATGTTCCACAAATCCGCCTAGATCCAAGCCAAGTTGAGCGAAAATAGCATTTTCGTTCTTTTATCCGGGTGAATATAGCATACCGGCTATTCTCACCAGGTCGCAGCAGAGGCGGCCCTGTTTTCACCTGGTCGTAGCAGTCACTACCACTCTAGGTCCCGTGTAGAGTGGGCTGGCGTCAGCTGGATATTGCCAAATGCAACGGCAGAACGTGGGCCCCAGGTTGGCCTGAACATCGGTCCTACATCAGAAGAAGTTGCACTTGGCCGAGAGATGCACCTTGGACGATTATTGCGGCCGACGTTAGCCGATACGGGTCCAAGATTGGTGCAACGCCGGTGTGCTGCCAGGGATATGTCTTGCAATTGTGTGGGCAGTTCTGAAGTTTCGTCCTTATTTGTACGGCCGCCCATTCACCGTTATCAGCGATCAGCACTCGTTCTATTGGTTAATCAACTTGAAAGATCCATCTGGGCGATCATGCACGTTGGAATCTTCGGCTCCAATAATTTGACTTCACTGTTGCCTTGAAGTCGGAAAAACGACACACCGATGCCGACTGTCTTTCTCGATCTCCTGTTGAGACGGTATCGCCGGATGACGACGACGACACGGACTTTTTGGGAATTGTGGACACTGCCGCCTTTTCTCAGCAGAAGCACGACGACGCTGAACTGCTACCACTCATAAAATACCTACAAGGGCGAACAAACAGCGTCCCTAAGTTATTTTCGAGAGGACTGCCGTCTTACTGCTTGCGGAATGACGTTCTTTATAAGAAGAACTTTTCCCCCGCCGGCAGCGGCTACTTGCTCGTCGTTCCTTCTTCGCTTCGCCGTGAGGTACTGCAAGCTCGTCACGACAAACCTGCCGCTGGTCACTTGGGTTACGAGAGAACATTGGCGAGGATAAGGCAAAACTATCACTGGCCAAGACTTACTGGAGTTGTCAAAACATAGGTGCAGGCATGTCTAGATTACCAGCGTCGCAAGACACCATCTATCAAACCAGCCGGCTTCTGCAGCCTGTCCGAGTGCCGTGGACACCATTCGCACAAATTGGCATAGTTTTTCTGGGCCCCTTCCCAAAGTGTGCCACTGAAAACAGGTGGATAATTGTCGCCACAGATTACCTGACCTGGTGGCCCGTGCGCTCAGATTTGGGTGCACGTTAAAGAACCCCAGGTGGTCAAAATTTCCGGAGCCCTCCACTACGGCGTCTCTCATAATCATATGGTGGCTTTGGGACGTTAAACCCCACATATCAATCAATTACCTGACCTGGTACGCGGAGACAGGCGCTCTGCCACGTGCACCGGCAGCTGAAGTGCCGCAATTTTTCATCCAAGCCACCGTTCACGGTGCTCCCGCAATAGTAATTACCGACAGAGGTACTGCGTTCATGGCCGAGGTTTTGGACACCATTTTCCGACTAAGTGGTACAGCTCACAGCAAGACAACGGCGTATCATCCTCAGACCAACGGGCTCACCGAACGTGTCAAGACCCTGGCTGACATGGTAAGCATGTACGTATATGTAGAGCAGAAGAACTGGGACGACATTTTGCCCTACTTCACGTTCGCGTACAACTCGGCTCGTGAGGAGACCACTTGGAAGACACCCTTCAGTCTACTTTACGGACGTGGAGTTACGACAACGTTAGACACGATGCTTTCTCATGAAAAATCGCAATGATACAGACGCCGAAGAGTTTACCCAGCTACCAGAGGAAACCAGACAACTTACCAGGTTGCGAATCACCAAAAAACAAAACGACGACGCCAAACATTACAACCTCCGGCACAGAACTGTCATATACGACGTGGGTGACAAAGTGTGGGTCTGGACACCTATTCGTCAGCGTGGGCTCTCCGAAAAGCCGTTGAAATGGTACTTCGGACTCTACAAGGTTCTGCGACGCATCAGTGACGTCAACTACAAGGTTGTTCCGGATGGCGTTCAGTGTTCGAAGCGCCGCAGACCAGAGATTGTCCACGTGCTTCGAATGAAGCCTTATTTTCAGTGACTAAATGTGCAGTTTTGGGTTTTGCCTTGCTTCTCGAACGTTTAACATCGGTGCGATGTTTTTTAAGGGCGAGTAATGACGCACGTATGTGCCAGTTGCGGCTACAACGAAGCAACGCGAGTTTCCCTGGCCGAGGGCAGAGACGAAAAAGACGTTGCAGTCTTTTTTTCTGTGATCAATAAAGCGTATTTCTTCGAAGTGCTTCGTGGTCTAGTAGGTCCCGCGTCGTCACAATATGCGTATGTGATCTCATATGAACGAATCACAAGCGAGAACACACAAGCAAACGCATACATGGACTTCGACATAGCTGAATTCTATTCTAGTAGGAACATGAAGGCTATTGATGCACCTACTTTAAGATTGCACAACGTGTACGGGCTAGCAGCCAAAAAATTTAAAATTGAAGTTTTCTACACATAAGCGTGTGTCATTCTATTTGCTTTATGTGTACGATCACGCAGCACAAGACGCCTATTTCAACAAGGTGAATAAAATCAAATTTTGTCACAAATTTGCTAAAGAGTTTCGGGATCACGGCAAATATACTGAAGCGTCTACTAAAGATCTGGCAACGTAGGTCGCTTTGTAGTTACTGAGTTAAAAATGCTAAGAAAGATTATCTGGGTTAGTGAAGGAAAAATTTACAAGCTATACTAGCTGCTGGTTAGGAAAGGTATGCTGGAAAGGCAGTGAAATACGCTGGAGTCGGGTAAATACACGCGTTTAATAACTGTTTGCACATTTTGTTTTTCCTAAGAACGTGCGACATCAAGGCAGAGCTCCTGTTCTTCGGGGTCTCTCGTTTTGAGGCTGCGCAAGCTGCGTGTACTTGGCGGCTTGGTTGCTTGCCGGTGGAGTAGCTGCGTGCGTGGAAACAAAGGGGACATGGCCCTCGTCGAAGAGCCTGTCTACGTAGGTGCAAAAAAGAGCGCTGCACGCCCCAGTGTCGGTCTCGCGGCCAACTTGTCGCAGGAAGAGTACCATGTGAGCGAGAAACCGCATGAAAAGAAGCGGTGGTTCAATCACCTGCGCGGATACCCAGTCGTGTATCTCTTCGATCGTGGAAACAGCCTCGTCCAGCACCAAACCTCTCTGCAGAATGTGCGTGATCTTTTGGCCTCGCGTCTCACCCACACCCGCAGCCGCCTGCAGGTCCCGGAAAACGGCTTCAAGCATTCCACGGCCACAGGGATAGTCCGGCGGTTGCGGTTCCAAGCTTCTAGCTTGCTGCATGGCAGTGCGAAGCTTCTGCTCCACGCACACGTCGACCACAGCGCGCATGCGAGCCCAGAGTTTGTCCTCCCATGTGGTACACACGGGCAGCATTGCTTGCACGTTTCCACACAGAGCACCATACACGGCGCGCTCGTACAGAGAACACGTGGGATTCGACGCCGCTTCCCAGCAGGCGCACTTCGAGAGGTTCTGGTAGAGGTTGCCTCTGGCGGGTTGCATGGAGTCAGCGCCCATGATGCTGCCATTATTCGGGTCGTGGTAGGGCCTCCAGTCTTCGAGCGCAGCGGCTAGCGAATAATGACCGTTGTCGGCAGCAAGCTCTTGAGCTCGCTGCCATTGGCCAGCTCGCAGGTGAAAGAATACGCTGCGGAAGAGGCGGACTTCGTCTTCATAGTCGCGGTTGTTTATCGGTAGCCGCTCCCTAGAGGGCGTGTCCGGGTCCAGCTCAGTCACGTAAGACGACGGTGCACTACCGACATCGGCGCAGGCCTTCACATGGTGCAGGGTGTTTTTCCAGACGGAGCCTCTGCCCGCAAAGCACTCGAGCCTTTCGTCGTCATTGCCCACACCGCGCTGATGTGCCACGCAGCTTTCCAACCAGTCGACCACTAGTTGCGCCCGGCGTGCGAACGAGTCTCTCGCCATAAGCGCCTCCACGATTTCCCATTCGCTAGCTTCGCGAGATCCGTCGACAAAGATAGTGGTGTCGGCATCTTCTTTCATTAACTCGTCCGCCTTGAGACGGTCACGCAGGAGGGAACCCGTGAGCATCCAAGTGTTTAGCTCAATAGTGAGCAATGTTTCGCACGTAATGGCTTCCATCCACACCGGCTCGCCCTTGCGAGATGCCAAGATCTCAGTCACTTTTCTCACTTTGGATAAGTAACCTTCGCACAGGCTTGCGTATTTCTCGATCAGCGTGAGGACGTCTTGGCTAGTACTATGAACAATGTACGCTTGCATGAAATCCGCGTGTAGGCCGGCAGTAGCGATTACCGCAGGATGTTCGGTCGCCAGCACTGACGCGGTAAAAGCGGTCATGTCGGTGGCATCGAAATTGGCGCTTACATTGCCGGTGCCACGCGAAGGCCTGCTGTCACCGGGCGCAGCAAAGTCTGCCATGGAACCTCTCGTGAAGGCGCTCGCAGTTCTGCTTGGGGTAGAGGTGGTAGCAATTTACGAGGCGGCCGAACGCTTAAATCCTGCTGCTGCCGTAGAAAGGACGCCCTCCGGTTGCTGAAGCGGCTTCGGAATCGTAGCTCGGTCACCGACGTGGCGGCTCGTGCTTCAAAGCACGAGCGAGTCTTTGTCGTCTTCTTCTTCTCCGCAAATGGCACACTCCATCTGGAGGGATTCGGCTGAGAAGAAAGTGAATTGTTTCCATCAAACAATATTATAATATTATTAGGCCCAGTTGTTATTATTCGCAAATAGTTGCTGATTTGAAGTGTCAATTGAATAAAAAATCTTAGGCCCGCCGAATTTAGCAGGATAATATTTCAGTCACAGTGATATAGTCCTATATAGTTCTAAAGTGCAAAGAAAACATCGCTGTGTTTTTACCGCACAGGAAACGCGCAGGTCGATCGCTACGAACAGATCAGGGACTGACGTTTGCCTGCTATGAGGGTTTGGCCAAGAATTTAGTAGTTGTGTTTGATTTTGTTTATTGTTTTTTATCATAAGCGTTTCTATAGTGTCCTAATTGATTAGCGAGTGTATTTTCAGATAGTACGACCAGGCAGATGCCGTTTTCCTCACCTGGACCAGGGGCTTTCTTCTGGTCTGCTTCTCATCCTTCGCAGGAATTGCCAGTGGACTTGTTTTTACGCAATGGCATCTCATCCGTTCCTGTGGCATTGGTCCCAAGCAACGATGGTATTATACGGATTAAGAATCCAAAAATGATTCAGACGGAGTTGAGAGCCGCTACAACTCACTACCAAAGCATCACAGAGGTCAGGCAGTTCGGAAAGGGTGGCATTCTTTGCTTCTCGTCTGACCAGCTCCGTGTTCGAGACCTACTAAAATGCTCGGTATTCGCTACCAACCCGGTGAGCGCATTCATTCCACCTCACCTAGCTTGCGTCAAAGGCCTCGTTCGGGGTGTCGATGTCAACTTGACCCCAACTGAGATATTAGATATGTTTTCAGAAGCAGCAGGTGTGATAGCTATCTATAGATGTAGTCGAGTTGTGGACAAGAACAAGGTTCCAACGGAGTCCGTGATTGCTACATTTGCCGGGTCGAATCGCCCAACCGAAATCAAAGCGTGGCCTTTAATATGCAGAGTGGAGCCACTATCACCTCGTCTCCCACAGTGTATTAAGTGTTGGCGTTATGGGCACACAGTGAAAGGATGCAGGTCAGTACCTAGATGCAGAATTTGTGGTGAGACGCACAACTAAAACGACTGTAAAAGTAATGAAGAAAAGTGCTGTCTTTGCCATGAACCACACTGCGCTGATAACCCAAACTGCTCAGCCAAGGCACGTGAAATCCAAATCCTTGAAATTGTAGACAGAAGGCGATGCTCCCGAAAGGATGCCATTGCTGAAATCCAAGCCTGAACACAAGGCTATGCAGGAGCAGCTGCCCGCCATAACATAGCAATGGAAGCATCCTTTTCCCTATCGATTGCGGACATGATCGAAAAGGCTGTGGATAAGGCTATGCAACGCCTTGCTACCACCCTATGCGAGTCGCTGTCGCACATTGTGAATAACCAAATCGCACAAGTCTATGAATCACAGATAGATATAAGTACGGCTGTAGAAAATGCTGAGTCTGCACACCCGACAAGTGAGGCAGAATCTGAGATAACTCCACCGGATGCACAGTCTGCAGAACCCTCTGGAGAAGGCGTTCATAGGCAAAGCGACGGTGCACAGGAAGCTTCTCAGGACACACAAGATATGGACATGGATCTCAAATGCCTAAAGCGTTCTAGATCCCCTGTATCGAAAAAACCTGGCTCGTCGAAACATGTAAAAAGCAAGAAATACCAAAAAGACAACTTTTCAAAAACCGATTTTCTAAAAGAAAGTATTTTAGATGAGGTAGTTGCCGAAACTATTTTAACGAAATCATAGGGTCTCTTAAAGTTATACATTGGAATTGCCGATCTCTTCACTCAGCCATAACAGATCTCTTATACCTGTCTTCCAAATTCGATCCGGCTATTATTGCATTACAAGAAACTTGGCTTTCACCACATCATTTATTTCACCTACCCAACTTCCAAACCTTTCGTCTAGACCGTCCATCCGAAGGTGGAGGTTTAGCTTTCTTTATAAATAATAAAATTAGTTTAAAAGTCAAAAACTCATACGAATTTATGTCTTCTGAATGCGAAATTTTCGCGTTAGATATTACCTTGCCAGGATACTTGCCTTTCTCGCTAATAAACGTCTACTTTCCTGTAGGCGTTCAAGACACGAGATTATTAGATATGGCTGCTGATTCAGGCTGTAAATAAAAAATTATAGTTGGCGACTTCAACTCTCACCATACCTGCTGGGGTTTTAGAACAGATCAGTGTGGACAGCGGTTGTGGGACTGGTCGGTAGACAAAAACTTATTGTGCCTTAACGCTAGAACTCCCACATTTATTCGAGGTCATTCACGCTCCGCCTTAGATTTAAGCTTTGTAAGCTCGGCCATTGCTAGTACATCGTGTACAGCCCTTGATTGCGCGTCCAACAGTGACCACTTTCCAATACTGTTCGAGATCACTTGCCCCGTCAAACCATCATGCTTCCATGCCCGGACCTATATAAATTATGCAAAATTTCAACACGACCTAAAAACTGCTTTAGACGCTCCCTCTCAGGATGGAGATGGCACTAAAGCTATGAAATTAAGCGCCGTAATTAAAAAGGCATACAAAAACGCTGAATTTGCTGTTAAATCAGAGAAGAGAGTACCTTAAAGCCCCTGGTGGAATTCCAACTGTTCACGAGATCACAGACGAAGACGGGCAGCTTGGAAGAAGCTAATACATAATCAGTCCCCTAAGAACAGGTCATATTATAAATTTCTTGCCACTGTATTTAAACACACGGTGGCCCAAGCTAAAGAAGAATATGATAAAAGACATTTCGATTTTCTCTCTAAACCTAAAAATAAGAAAGCTTTAGTTCAATATATGCGATCTCGCAAAATCCTGCCGTCTACAGTAAATACTGATAATGAAAAACTATCATTGGAAGAAACGACGAACTCTTTAGAGGCAATTGGCAGAGGTCTAGAAATTAGATTTTCTTCGACTATGGCTTTCAACTGGCAAAAGTTTAGCATAAGCACTGACTTCGAAAACGTAACGCTGTCTGAAGCATCAAAAGTAATTCGAGATCTACCATCGTCAGCTCCTGGTCCAGATGGAATCACAGTTCCTATGATTAAAATTTTATTCAAGTGATCCCCCGGCGACGTCCTCAATCTTATAAACTACTCTTTAAAGAATGCCTGGATACCGTATGACTGGGAAATAGCTAAGGTAATCCCATTAATAAAAAAGCAAGGATTAGGTTCTACCATAGAAAATATCAGACCCATCTCGCTAACTTCGAACATGGTGAAACTCATAGAGAGGGTCCTAAAGGGCCGAATAAACGCCTGGATGACGAATAAGGCCTTATTAAAGCCAAATCAAATTGGTTTTCGTTGCGAATGCTCAATTTGGTGCGCCCATGCAGATTTAGAGAGTCGAATACAGCTTGCTCGTAAAAGGAAACATTACGCCGCATTAGTAACTCACGACATAGCTAAAGCGTACGACAGTGTCCAGCACTCTATTCCACTGATCACCTTGCAGAGCCTAAAGTTTCCTCAGTATATTACTGAGTGGATAGCAGAATTCTTAATATCAAGGGAATTTATTGCGTGAAGGATGGCTGTTGTTCGCATAAATTCAAACAGAAACGTGGTGTTCCCCAAGGGTCCGTCCTATCTCCAGCATTATTCAATATACTGATGAGCTCTATTCCAATTGTTCAGGATGTCAGTGTCTACATTTATGCAGATGATATCGCGTTCTTCGCTGCAGAGAGCGACATTTACTCACTACATCAAAAATTGCAAAGATATATAATACACTAGAAATTTGGTTGCAATTCATTTGATTGTCATTGAACATCAGTAAAAGTGCGCTCTTGGTGTTTCCTATAGCAGATACAGTTTCAATTTCTGCATTGTATAATCAGGAACCTATTCCACAAGTAGATCCAGTCAAGTACTTAGGGATGATTTATAATGAAAACCTAAATTGGAGCCCAGACATTGAATATATAACAGCAAAGGTACAACGGGCGTTAGCTTTATTACGCAGGTTAAGCAACAGAAAATACGCGCTGCGCAGACACACATTGTTAATGATATATAAAATGTATGTGCGACCAATATTGGAATTTGGGTGTGTATTATTCTCGGGGGCTGCTGGTTATAAAATTAAACTGCTAGTGATGTTAGAGCGAGAAGCCCTGCGGATATGCCTGCGACTTCCCAGGTTCGTGGCGAATAATGTATTGTATCAAGAAGCGCGATTGCCAACACTCCTCTGTCGATACCGCATTCTAACGGTTCAAACCTTCTTAAAGTTACACAGTTTACCGGTGCGAAGATCAGAGTACGCATTTATCAGCGACCCTAACTCTTTCTTTCTTACACATTGGCCTCGATTTCATACCCCTCAGATAATTTTCGTTAAAAAGAAACTGGATTGCATAAATGTAGACATTAGCACAGTAATTGAAACTAATTCCCCAACCCTCAACATTAGAATACAGTACGATGAAATCTTTCCCCCACAAGCCAACTTGCAATCTCTTAGATTTTTGACCACTACATTAAACGATTACTTGGTACATGCAGAAACAAAAATTGTAATAGCTACAGATGCTTCTGTCAACAATAAAAAGGCAGGCGTAGGAATTGCGTCTAATTTCCTCGGCTGGTCTTTTTCAGTAAGGCTTCCAGATTTCACTCCTATATATGAAGCCGAGCTAGTAGCTATTAATTTAGCTCTTCGTAAAATTCCTACGACCGAGACCAGTGCAATCACCCTAACAGACTCACTTTCGGTGTGTGCAGCTCTGACCACCTTCGAACAATCTCGTGCCTTA